CGGACTACATAGCTCAACACGACAGCCAACGCTAACGTAATGACATGTGAAATAAAATGTCATCATGCTTTAAAGAAGAGTGGCTTGATTAAGTGGTGGAAAGTGGTGGATGATGAACTCAGAACGGTATAAAAACTCCGAGACATTTACAGTCACACACACAGGTGTACAACTCTAAACTCTACTCAGATAACTATACAAGCATTTACATGTTCACGTTTTTTAAAAATATTTAGTTTACAGATCTCAGTTTAAATGCTTCAGTTTGTTTTCTGTTCTATTTTATTCTATTCTATTCTATCAGTTTAAATACTTCAGTTTGTTTTTATATTATATTATAAACCTAATAAATAATTGAACTTAAAAAGGGAATTAATTAGAAATATCTGCTTCATTTTTAATTATAATACATTTAATTATAATACATACATATCTTGTATTATATTATATTATAACAAAGAACTGAACTGTTCTAATTTTTTTGTTTTATTTTTTTAATAGAATTTCTTGGTAACACAGCGCTGTAAAAAATGTTTGGTAACACTTTATTTTAAGGACCAATTCTCACTATTAACTAGTTGCTTATTAGCATGCATATTACTAGCATATTGGCTGTTTATTAGTACTTATAAAGCACATATTAAGGTCTTATTCTACATGACCGTATTTTAGATCCCTTAATCCTACCCCATACCTAGACTTAACAACTATCTTACTAACTATTAATAATCAGCAAATTAGGAGTTTATTGAGGGAAAACTCTTAATTAATAGTGAACATGTGTTCTCTATTCTAAAGTGTTACAAAATGTTTTCTCAGGTAACCTAAAATGTGCATTATTTAGTTACATCAAGGGTCAAATCAAATATAAATGGTACATTAAAGTTAAAAGTTACACACTTTTACGTGTGTGCACTGTACAAGTCTGGTGTAAAGAATATTTTTGCTCAAGTGGCCGAAATGTCCGCCCAATAGAGAACGGTTTTGCTCAGCAAGAAAAAAAAACGTGAGGGAACATTGCAGGAAACTGAAGCATATTTGCATATTTAAAAGAATCTTAGTAAGCAAACAGTTGACAGTAGCCACTGACTTCCATTGAATTAAAAATAATAATATGCAAGTCAATGGATACCCTGAACAAAATATCATCTTTTGTGTTCAGCAGAAGAAAGAAACTCATACAGGTTTGGAACAACTTGCAAATGAGTAAATGATGATGGAACTTTCATTTTTGAGTGAACTATCCCTTTAATAGTCAGGCTTTCCTTAGGTTAATTTCTGTGAACTACACACTATACGTAGATGTAAATTAATCTAGCAGCAGGTTTGTAAAAGGCACAGTAAAATAGATATAAAATGTTATTTTGCTGTTCTACAAGTACTGTTACTCTCACCTCATTGCTGGAATCAGACATAGTGATGTTGAACAGAGCTTTAAGGGCTTCCATGGCAAGCTCGTTGTTTTCTGGGGAAATGGGCAGGGTTTCTGGTTTAGGGGGCGTGGCCTCATATGGCCCCACCCAATGGACGTCAAGGGTGCGTTCCAGTATGTCAGTGAGCAGCCTCACCGCGCCCGCCTCCTTCCGAAGCATGCCACGCACATCCGTCCGCAGGGCGGAAAGCAGAAACAGCAGCCGAAGAGAGAACAGGCCCACCTCATGATGGGACGAGCTGACCGAATGCAAGTGGGCACACAGGCCCTCTGCCAACTTCACTTCAGTGCCCACCTGCTGTGCCGGCACGCTGTTAAACACCACGTTGCACAGGCACTTGAGGGCTTCCACCACAACCCTTTCCTCCTCTGCTGACTGCGCCTCCTCTAACAGCTCTCCGTCGTGTCCCACCACATGGATCCGGGCCAATCCTGCTAAAGTGAGGATGCCCTCTTTGGTGGCTACGGGTCCAAGTACACGCTTGTCTCTGGACAGGATGCGCAGGGTCTCCAGGCAAGTGCTTTGGCAAAGTGGATGATCCGATCGACGGAGGACTGTAAGAAGACCCTGACAAAATTTCTGCAAAAGGGACCACAAAGCACAAGAGGTCATTGATCATTTTAAGTAAAACAAGGTACTGAAATGACAAGGAACATACCAAATTGAGATCGTTTTGAAATACAAAACAAAACAGACCATAAATCTGTTACTCACAATTCGTGCATTCTCCTCTTTGTGGTCAAAGGCAAATGTGTGTCTGTTCTGAAATGAAATGTCAACAGGACATGAGACAATATAAATCTGAGATAAACAGATCCCATGCTTGGATCCATCTCAAACCATAGAGTAGCTAGACATGAGTAAAACAGTTCACTAATTTAGCTTAATTCTGTGCTGGTAGCTGATTTCTATCTGGTCTAAGCTGGTTGATCAGCTATGATGTTCCATAAACTAGCGTAGCCACTTTAAGGAAAGCCATTGCAGGCAAAATCTTTTTTTTTTATGCACTGGTCAATTTTGGGCTTCCTTTTTTTGCTTCCTTGTCTGCTTTCATACTACTAAACATAAAACATCCATGATACACATGTACTGTAAGTGTTTACATTATCACACTTTATATTTTAATTACAATACATATATTTTTAAAGGCCGTTTTCTCAAAATTCGTTTTTTTCCATGCACTGACTCAGAATTCACCACTTCAGCAGCAATTACATACACAAAATTTTGCTCTGACATTTTTTTTTTAACAGAGAGGTTTGTTAATATATAATTTGCCTGATTTATATTACATTTCACTCCTAAAATCATTATTTTTTTCCTAGCTGTTGACAGTATTATCTGATGTATGGAGTGATAAAAAGAGATATCCAAAATCTCTGTAAAAGCAGAATTTTAATGGTTTATAAAAAAGTTTTATATCTGGCTTTATTACATATTCAGATCTGTGTTCTGGAAATATAGGCCTATGAAAATTAGTGCTTTAATAAGATAATGCCTGGGTTGCATATTTAAAAATGACATTTTAGTAAACCTGTAATACAAAACAATTTTTTATATTGTTAATGTAAGTACTAATCAGGGCAAGTATGGCGATATTTTACACAAATGTTATCCTATTAACAAGGAGTACTTTCCTTAAGCTGGTATGGATCGTCCATGATGAATTTCATGAATCACAGTAACAGTACCAGTCTCTTTCTGAAAACTGTTAACTACAACTTAACTAACAGTGGTTTAGTTTACCAATGGCTGTTCCTATAGGAATAGGTAACGTTACAGGAAAATCCTGTATTCTTGAGATTTCCTCCAGAAATTCAGCATCATTAAAATAAGGTAAACACCACATATGAGGTTAAAATTGCTCTTCACATCAGAAGAATCCATACAGAGGTTGATAAACCTGTTAGAACAACATTATTTCCAACAGTATTTTCTTCTTTTACGTATCTGACAGATGTCAAGCTACTTTAGCCTTTCACAACTATTAACATCAAACACAACAGTTCATTTCTACTCTATTCGTCTGAAATGACCATTTTTCTTAAAAGATTTCACACACTGCTCATTCATGGGGGCAAAATATGGCATCTTTGTTTGAAAGTCAAGCTGGGTGTATCAAATTGGTATCATGGCTAACAGCTGGAATATGCTAGTTTACGATCCCAAAGCGAATGCCTCGTGGCTTTAATCACTAAATACAAAGCAAATACAAATTTAAAGTTCAGAAGCAAAGCATTTTTGCACTGAGATCATACATTTTTTTGTAGGTTCATACACACCGGGTATATTGAGATTAACGGGCGGCTAACTCGCTAATATCTCCACTGCTAGCGCGCATTAAAACAACATGAGATGGTAAGCTAACAGCAGCCTCTTTACCTCTGTGTTATACTTCTGCAAAAGCTTTTCAACTCCCTTGTCATCTCCACCGTCGATCTCTGACAGAATAGTAGTCAAACTCATCTCTGAATGTTGCTTTTGCCGTCCACTTACAAACACTGGCAGCCCTTCTTACAACAACAGTACGGATGAGAGTTAAACACCTCCTCTGTTTCTCTCAGCTGTTTCACCCGTCAAACGTCACGTTTCTCAGACTTTTACAAGAATCCTTAAGGCACATGGCAAATATATTTATTTCCTCAAAGCTGCCTGGATGGTGTCCAAATTCACCAGGCCATGTAATGATATTTAACTGGAAGAATTATGGTGGCAGAACAGCAAAACTTCCATTCTGCTGGAAAATCTAATTTAGGATGATAGCTGGTTGTTGATGGTAATTAGCTTGTGCAGGGTGACCAACAACAAATCAGCTACCAACTGGGTAAACTAATGACCAGCAACTATCCTCCCAAAACACATATGGACTTTCCAACAGGAAATAGATGCAATAGCTATTATGTTTAGGTTCCTCTTTTGTAAATCGCTTTGGACAATGCCTGCAAAATGCATAGATGTAAATGTTTAGAATAAGTTTTCTGGGCCAGCCTTTAAAATGACTTCGATAGAATATATATCATCTTCAATAATGAGTTGCATCTTGTGCATCTTCATTAAAGAGCATAGAAGGATTTATCTGAAGGTTTGCATGCATATACTTCCTGCGAAATATCAAACTCTGACCTTCACAGTTTTCATACATTTCTTTTTATGCTACATTTAATTAAAATGCCCTTTTCAATTAATACTTGAGAGGTTTAAGGTATTTTTCTAGTGCAAGGTGGAAATGGTAATGCACACATAAATAAATATGCATATTTAAATCAAAGTATCAGTGCGTGACCATTTAAAAAGTGTAATTGAGTGCATGAATCTGATTTCTTAGACTTGATCTATCAGAGCTGGTTTAACAATTTAAACAATTCTGAAATTTAACAAGTGCAATATTGATTAGTTCAATGCCTGATTAGTGTCCATGTCAGTCCTGTCAGTATTATTTTGCTGTATATTTAGCAATATACATGTACAATGAAATTCTTATATATTCCAAACATATAGACATACAGAGTAAAAAAAAAAAAAACACAAATAGAAGACATAATATGAACTGGGTTTAAAAAAATCTTTATGTGGCAACAAATAAGTCCACATATATCATTTACATGGTAACAGCTGTCATCACAGAAGTTACTGAGTGCTTTTATTTACAAGAGAAAGTGACTAAAGATAATAAATGTTACATTTTCATATTCTTTCCTTTTTATTCCTACCCATAGGGTAATAGGTCCACAGTACCTTTGAGTGCATTCAAGAACACACAAACCTAGGTTAACACTTTTCGGTTCTTAACATCATACAAAACTGGATATACAGTTCAAACACAGATAAACAATGCAAAGGGACACAATGTTACAAAGCTACAGAAAAGATTTCTAATATTCCCCCAGCCTCACACTGGAGTAATTCTGCATTTGTGTAAAATGAGAAATCTTATTTTTACGTTCGCATGCGATAAGTACTGACATGAGAGGCCTTTATTTGTTTGAACTCCTATGACGTACGTATTCTGGCAGCTGACCAAGAGGGCGTTCTGAGATAAAATATTAAGGCATTTCTTCCTGGTTCTGAGAATGTGTTGTGTTTATGCTAGGAAAATAGCACACTTTGATGTTGACAAAAAAAAACACCACTGTGGTGTCATTAACATCACTGACGTCAAACACCCAGTCTGTGGTAACAGAACACCGTGAGATGCGTACATATTTACGTTGAAACAAACTCAGCAGCAACCAAAGTTTTTGCACAGTAAATTAATGAGTGGCCTATAATGCTCATGAGAGATAAATGAGAAACAGGCAGGGAAAGGCACAACTGGGACACTGCCTTTTTGCACTCTCACAATGATTGCAATTCAAAAAGAGTTTCATTGGCAGCTTGCACTGTAAACACTGACCATACCAATAAAAACATCTCTGACACATCATTCCCACTCAAATACATTCTTTGTAATTATGTTAAATATGGGCTGCCGCTGGTTTATCTGTCCAGCTTTGCACACAGCTTTGCACATGCAGACATCGTCTCTTGGACGGAGACTCTCGGAAGGGTACAATCATTTTGCCCACCCAGTCGTTGCCTCCCCATTAATATAGGCAAATCCTGGAAAATGTTGTGCATGCTCATATTCAGAGTTCCTGCGTGGGGCGAGAGGGGAGTACATGTCTCCGGTGGGGTAGCGTGACGTGTGGACAGTGGGGCTGGAGTAACAGCTGTTGGCCGAGGGCACATCCGGCCATCGGGGGGTCACCGCACTCGAATGTAGAAGCGGAGACCCACTCATCAAACAGGACTCCATTCTGGACATCTGTGGATACTAAAAGACAGAGAGAAACATGCATGAGGACTGTTACAAAATATCAGTAGTGGCTCATGTGGCGCATTTTCTAAACAAACCTCATTTTCTTTCTTTATGTTTATAAAGCAATAAGACATTTTTTTGAGGCCATGCATAAGGAGTGTTTTTGCAACACAAAGTGCCTAAAACACCCTTAACCACAGTCAAATCACTGTATCAATTTTTTCTTTATTAATAAATATTTATAATAATAATAATACAGCAAAAAACAAGACACAAAAATATGTAATAAAGTAATGATGAAAATGATTATAATAATAATATCATTAATAATAATAACAATAACAGCAAAAAACAACAAATATTGGTAGTAGTAATAATTATGATTAGTAGTAGTATGGTATTTCTTCATTTTTTAATGATAATAATAATAATAACAATAATAAAAATAACAGCAATATCAGTAAAAAATAAAAACCAACAAAAAAAATGAACAATACTACTACTAATGATAATAATAAGATGACGACGAATAAGAATAATTATTTAAAGTTTTTATTATTATTATTATTATACATTTTTTGTTTCACAAAAAAAAAATCACTTTCACTGACTTTTAAATTAAATGTTCCCTCCCATCTATTTGTTTTATTTTTATTTATTATACAATTAACAAAAGCAAAAAAAATGCCTCTAACACTAGCTTGCTCTATTATTTTTCTATTCTATCGGTTTTCTTTTTATTTATCATATAATTAAAAAGAAAAAAAAACCTTGCTGCGTGTACTGCATTAAGCTAACTGAGACTTGTTATAACACTTGCGTATCATTGCTCTCTTGGTGATTTTGATTGCTTCCATTGTCCTCATTTGTAAGTCGCTTTGGATAAAAGCATCCGCTAAGTGACTACATGTAAATGTATTATAATCATAAATCAAAATAAAGAAATGCCATACTACTGCTACTACTACTAATAATAATAACAATAATTAATAATATTTTTGTTATTATTATTATTTAAATGTAGAAACATCTGACAGGAACAACTGACTAAACTGACATCAATTCTTCCCCTATGTTATTCAATCACATTTTTTTACTGTTAAAATGACGATGCCAGACTATCTAATAATTAACTAGAAGTGCAAAAATGCAGCATAATTTGAACATCTGTTCTGGATGCATAGAAGAAAAAGGTCTTTTAAGTTAACATAGCACTTTTTCTTAAAAGACTCCCAAAAAGGTATTTTTGTTGCTGTGTGTAACAGACCAAAAACAAAACTGAACATGTCAGCTCAAGATATGTCTATATAAAACACTCTGTTCTCTCTGGGGAAGTCAGCATAATCTTCATTTGTCTCCTCTCTACTGCCTCCTTCAGAGTAGCCGTATCAAACAAAGCATGGACATTGTATCCATTTTAAGTTGACGGAAAATAAGTGGAAGTAAAAATCTATAAGTGCTCTCTAAATAGAAACTGTCAACAGTCAGAGCTTTTATGAACGGCTGCGGCATGGAAAAAAGTCAGGCAGGGTCAGAGACCAAGATGTGTTGCTTGGTGACCTCTTGTTCATGCAGAGAAAAGAGACCATTGAATAACAATATTTTAATAAACGCCTTTCCATCTGGATCTCTGGTCGCTAGTTGTGCTGTCTGAGGCGGTCACTGAGTAGACAGTAGAGAGACATTGAGTGTGTGTATCGGGGGGTTCTCTTGGCTTCAGTGTTGGGCAGTAGCTAGTTACTGTAATAATATCACTTTTAGCAGTAACTAGTAGTGTAACTAATTACTAATAAGATTTCAGTAATAATATTACCATCCATAAAACAGCTAGTTACTTTTGATGCCTCAACCCCTACTGAATCCAACAATTCCTAGATTTATTTTCATCATTTTCATGACTCGCACAGGCACATGAAGTCACCAGTGCATCAGGAAAGCTTGGAATATGGAAAAGCTTACATTCAGGGGATGGAAATATTGCCGGTCCACCTTTCAGAGTCTGCATCCACTGTGTGGAAGAGAATTCAGCAACACTGCTTCTGAAACTCTGAGGCCCAGCTGATCCCACATTACAAAGGCAGGCTGGGCCAGAGAGCTCTTGACATGAAATTACCATCACACCCGCTTTGACTTTTAATATATGTGATGCAGATTCCTGCCTCTCCATCCACAACCGAACAGTTTAATTCAACCATTCATGCTCTCTCTATCTCAAGCACTACACAGAATAGCATTTCTGATCTAGTAGCATGCAGCATGAGCATTTTGTATACACTTAGTATATCTGCATACTAAAATTAAAATTTCACACACTGAGAAAACACACTGTCCACAATTCAGTAAACCAATGCAAATATTTCTGTATCTCCTCCTAGAGCTTTCAGGCCACCTCCACCAAACTTGGCACAGGCCTGCAGCCTGTTCTTAGTGTACTATATATTTCCTAACTGATCAGACTAATGGTTTTCCTGTACCTGATAATCAAATCAAAGCCTATAAACATGTAATTTTTTTCTCTAGGGTTCTCTAGAGGTTTAACAAAGACAATTAATTGAGCTTTTTCATCTTTGTTCTCATTCAGAAGTGAATCCGCTTTAAATAAATATGCTAAATGACCTGTACTTCTGATCAGGAGTTCAGCCTATTACCCTAGTGTGTACTGAGCTAAGCAAGCATTCTCTATCCATAAACCTCTGTGGATAACATCAAAATCAAAATAATGAGATATTGAGATAAAAAAAAAAAGAAAATATAAAGTTGACAAATGTGACAGTCTTAAGATAAAAAAAGGCAAAATTATGATATACTACAAGTACTATAATAATTATTAGATAAAATTTAATATATCATAATTTTGACGTAGTATGTCATAATTTTGACTCTTTATTATGACTTAATTTTTCATTGTGACTTCATATCACATAATTGTGGCTTAGTATGTCATAAGTTTAACTATTATGAATCATAATTATGAGATAAAAAGTTGAAATTATGACAGTCAATTGACAAAAAGTTGATGTTTTGTTATAATTATCTAAAGTATGCCAGTTTCTGACTTGCGTCATAATTATGATTAGGGTTGCAAAAAGGTGGAAAATTTCCAGTAAATTTCGGAAACTTTCCAGGGTTTTTTTTTTTAATATTCCAGGGATTTTTTTGAAAGTTTCTGGAAACTTACCGGAAATTTTCCACCCCTTTGCAACCCTAATTATGATTTATCATAAATGTGATTTTAACTGACTAACTTTTGTCAGACCTAGTGTTGTGAAACTGAAGGTGTTGTCTGACAAAATTGTGAAACTATATTCTTTAATCATGTGTTTTATAAATAGTTCAGAGCTTGTGGATAAAATAGTATCATAAAATAATACTGTATGATTTTATCATTTTGGTGGGAGGGGCCTAACCTGTGCGGAGGTCCGGTGGTATGAGGAATAATGCAGAGGGGTGGGCAGCCCTGGTTCGTGGGTTAAACTGGAGTACTGACTTTGGATAGCATGATGGTGCTGGTTTGCGTAGCTGTTGTAATTATAGCTGCCAGTATAGAAAAAAAGGTACTGAGTACAAATCTCTAAAAACATTTCATAATCCACACTGTAATGTCATATTCAGCACATCATTTAATGTCTTATCATTCATTTGGGGGCTTACCCATGCTCATCCCGATGTGGGTAAACTGGCATCCTGTGGGTAGATGAGGAGCCATATAGAGGGGGTCCGCCTCTCATGCAGGAAAGCTGGGATCCGGTCTCGGGTGGGCTGCCACCTGAGGCTGTCATTGTGTATGTAAGGGACCAGGTATATGACTGAACAGCTCCTGGCACATACACAGACATACATATACAGAGAAACGTGTTTGGCTTGTTAATTAAATTATCTTACTGTGAGATGCATTTTTAATGGATGCATGAAATGGGCTGTGCAAAATGTACGGTTGAATGTGATACTGTGTTGTGTGATCTGAGTTTTAGAATCAGTTCTACACTATTTACCTGTGGTAGCTGATATGCCTGTGTACTCTGGAGACTGGGCTGAATTGGGGGAACCTACTGCTGGCACACCCACTGAGTGAACAGACTTGGCAGGAGAGAAGGGTCCAGGTGACGTAGATGTGGGTGTGGAACCCATGAGCATCAGCTCTTCCCCAGAATCTGCTATAGTAGTACAAAACAAAAGTCAAAGTTAAGACATTTTCGTGATTGTCTGCTGCAATCACCACGTTTTGCATGCTGGAGTGCTGGTGTAAGATTCCCCAGCAGATCAGATGTGTCCTGGTCAACCAGCTTAGACAACCTCTTCCACCAGACAGATCAGCACTACACCAAGCCTACATGCTGGTCTTTCATATGAAACAATAGTCAGAAATATCTCAGTTTTTGAAATGGAACAGTTTATATTGAACCTATAGACAAAATAAAAATCTTAAAAAATAAAATAAAAAATAAGTTTGCATAGGTGTTTTTGCAGCTTTTATGGCTCATATAGTATGAAATAGGAGAATATGGAGATCATACGCAAAGAGAAAAAAAAACACCTCATTATTGTTATTCAAAATGTTATTCAAAAATTAGCAAAAATTTGCAATTTGGTGAAGCTGCTGATATTCATATGGCCAAAAAGTAAGATGAAATTCTGATAATTTGTAACGTAAATCAATGAGAACAGTATAGCAGACTACTTACATGAAAATGTATATAAATATCAGTTGTCACTCCATTTGTCCCAATAATATGTCTCAAGGTCAATTCACACTGCACCCACAGACGCAGATCAATGCCGACAGCCGACCAAGTACAGTACTTCACTTCTCAGATGTTTCAAGACCCGACTGATTCTGATTCAACATTTTCAATGCTGAATCTAGTTTTACAATCAAAGCTCTGTTCGTTTCTCAAAAGCTTGATGTGTCATATTTGATACTTGCATGGATAATCAAGTAAACCTACGTTGCTTCAGTCCAGTAAGTGTACATTTTGAAATATCACTAACAATATAAAACTTATTTCTATTTTACTTTATAAAAATCTGTAAATTTCATAGTTAACCTACACACGAACATCGACCTGAAGGAGGACATTTTTAGAATTACTTAAAGGCCTTTTACTTGCTAAAAAAGTATGAACTATAAATCACACGACAGAACGTATGTAGAATGTGTATTACAGAAGGTATGTGTACAACACTGAGTGTTTTGATCATACTGATAATTTATAGAGGCATTATAGAAATTTGTGTCTCAAATTTAATACAGTAGGCTTTATAGGCTTAAATTAATAATAATTAAAAAAAATCATATTTGAGGTTTGACTGTATGCCATTTATGCTGTAGAAACTCTCTTCAAGTAGTCACCCACTGAACTAATGAAAACTGTTATTTTTATGACAAATGAGCTTTCTGTGTTGGTCTCCAAACTGATGCCATGAGCGATCAGCTCTATTTCTTGTATCAAATGGATCTCACCTGGTGTCCCCTCTCCTTTCATAGCCCTCATCAGTTCATTGGCTCTCTCTTGGCAGTGCAGAGACTCAAGCAGGTATAGTACGTAGTCATCAAACATGAGGTGGATCAGATGGAATGAGCCTATCAATACAAAAAATCCCATTTACCATAAAAAGTTAATGTATTCTACCAATTCAAGTCTCCTGTCCAAGTAATAAATGAAGGCTTTGTGGACCATAAAGCATTAGCTATCAAATGCAATTCGATTTGAATCTTGAATCGAAGCTTCAAGTAAACAAAATGATTTGACGTTGTTAATTGGCACAATACTGAAGCACATTTAAATGGTAAAAGCTCAAAACCAAGTCAGAACTAGCAGTCCAACCATAAACTCTACAGAGTTACTGAAGCATATGATGCTTTGAGTCCATGTTCTGAATGAGATGGGGGAAAGAATTCATAAAGAGCATGGCACAATCCTCGCATTGTGTTAGCAACTCCAGCCACTATGTGCATAATAAACGTTGCGGCTATTCAGCGGACTGGGCGCAATACTGCCCGGTCATAAAATGGGAAGAAGGGGGAAAGACTTGGTGGGGGTTAGCCTTTGTAATTAGCTGTTTTGTACAGAGAGCTGCATTATCAAAACACTGCAACCAGCTGTGTCTTTGATATTCACAGACAGAGCTGACAGGGAGGGGGGCTTTACCTCTTTTATGGCCCTTCTTTCAGTTACTTTGCCATAGACAGCTAGGTGGTGTAAGCCAAGAGTTAGCAAAGCTGCCATCTTAGTTAAAAGTTGACACTTGGTGTTGTGGATTGAGAAACTTTTAGTTAACTTGACAAATCAAATCAGTTAAAAGAATATTCATATCTACTCTTCCAAATAGGATGATTGTGACAAAACAGTGCAGCCTGACTCACCGAAGCTGGGTGCACTATGCAGCGTCATATCCCGGATAACTCTGGTCCCGAAACACGACCACATGAGCAGGAACTGCTGAGCTACCCTCTTCAGACATCCGGGTCTCTTCCCCGCCACCTAAATGGAGTATTACCATGAGAAAAGCCTGGGGGAGGGCGCAGGGGCCTTAAACTTTGGGTCTAAACTGGGGTCTAACCGCCAAGAACGAAAAACATGTCAACAAGTCAACTATTTGATTTGTCCCTAAGGAAACACCCTCCCATTGAACTATTGTCTGGTAGGTAGCAGAAGTTCCCATGGAAACCAGATTTACAAGCCCATATCTGGACTATAATGGGCATGAAAAGCGGCCATGAAGACATTATTAAGTTGGGGAATTGCATCACGAAAGGTCTTAAGTATGTTGTGACGGCATTTAGAGTTGTATGAGTTGGACACCTGCAGTTTGGATTGGAAGAACATATAACAAGTGCTTGAAAAGGGCTATGAAAAAATTATATTCCTATTTAAATATATCTATAATGAATAAATATAATATTTTAATAATAAAAATTACTATATAAAATTATTATTATTAATCAAATAATTTAGCAAAAA